GGCCTGAGCGAGGCCCGCCCGCGCCGCCCGCTCATTCGGGCCCGGCCCGGAGCCCGCCGGTCCGCCCCTGACGCTCGGTGAGCCCCGGCTCACCTCAGCTGCCGGTCGTACTTCTGTTCCTTGGGCAGCTTCCCCGGCTGCGCCATGACCGCGCTCACGGCGCGAACAGCAGAATCCCTACCTAGTACCGCCGCCACCTCCGCTCGCGCAGGCGCACTGCGAGCCCTTTTGCCGCAGCTGCCGCGGTCCGCCCGCCGCCCCCAGGGGGCGCCGCCACTGCGCACGCGTGACTGCCATGCCCCGCGTCCCTGGCACAGTAGAGGTGTTAGAGAAGAGTACAGAGTATCCCGTCCCATGGACTGTCAAAAGAACAAACAGATATGTTGGGGGGAAATGCAGCCAGAGTGCTCCTTGAAGACAAAGGTGGCGAAGCTTCATCTCTCATACATTGGACGTGTTTCTAGGAAAGGTTATTCCTTGGAAAGGGACATCATGCTTGGATGATGGAGGATCAGCGAGAGTAAGACTTCCCCCCAAACAGATGCATTGACACAGTGAATGCAGCAACGAACTAGTAGTCTCTACCTCTGCCTGTGCAGGAATAGTGAAATCAGGTATATTTGAAATCAGGGATTTGTTTTGTTGGGTTTTTTTTTTTAATTTTTATTTTATTATTTTTGTGTGAGTGTACCGTCAAATCAGATCTGACTGGTACAGGAGGAGATTGTCCCTCCTTCCCCGGCAGAGCATCTGGTGGATGAAATCAGGGATTTGAAATCAGGTATATTTGCATTGTAATCGTTACCTCTAAATCCTGTTTCCTAATCTGAACAGTAGGTTATCTCCGATGGGTTTCTTATCTAAACAAGTACGACTCAGTGCTCTTTAGGCGTTAAGTTGTTGTTGTTACGTGCCGTCGTCGAGTCGTTTGCGACTCATAGCGACTCTATGTACAACAGCCCTAAACCGTGCTCTATCCTGTGCCAATCGCACTGTTTCTGACACACCCATTCCGATTACCCCAGTCACTGAATCAATCCACCTCATAGAGGGTCTTCCCCTCCTGCGCTGCCCCTCCACTCTACCCAGCATGATGTCCCTCTCCAAAGACCTGTCTCTCTTCACAGCATGTCCAAAGTATGTCAGACGAAGCCCCAGAATCCTTGCCTCCAAGTAGGTTTTTAAAAATGCGGAGCCATACTCTTACACACATACACAATCCTGAGGCATATAGGTTTTATTACTATGATCATTATTGTTCATCCATCAATAACTCATATACAAGTTCAAATTGAAGCTAAAGAAAATCAAAACAAGTCCCCAAAAATCAAATACAACCTTGAATCAACCCCATCTGAATTTAAAAAAAAAAAAAAGCATTTCAAGAATAGATTTGAGGCACCTAAGACTAATGGTCGAAGACCAGAGAAGTTGTGTGATGACATCAAGAATATATATCACCCATGAAGAAAGCAAAAAGGTCATTACAAAGAGAGAGGAGCAATAAAAAACCAGAATGGATGTCAGAAGAGGGTAAAAAATTGCACTAGAATGTCAAGAAATTAAAGGGAAGAAATGCCAAATTGAAGGAAATGAACAGAAGATTTCAAAGGGCAGCTTGGGAAGACAAAGAAAAGTATTGTAACAAACTATACCAAGAGCTGGAGCCATAAAATTTAAAAAGGGAAAAACTCGCCCAGCATTTCTCAAGCTGCAGGAGCTGAAAAATAAATTCAAGCTTGAAGTTACAATACAAAGGGTTCTATGGGTAAAATATTTAATGATCCAAGAAGCATCAAAGGAAAATGGAGGGAATATATACCTTTACTGTACCAAAAAGAATTGATTGGCACGGAACCATTTCTGGAAATAGCATATTATTAAGAACTAATGGTAAGAAAGAAGAAGAAAAGAACCAGTGGTAAGCAATGAAGAAATTCAAACAGCACTGAAGGCATTGGCAAAAAAGAACGCCCAGGAATTGATGGGATAACAACTGACATGTTTCCACAAACAGATGCAGCTCTGGACATGCTCACCAGTCTGAGTCAGGAAATTTGGAAAATAGCTACTTGGTCAACTGACAGAAGAGATCCATATTTATTTCCATTCCTAAAAAAGATGATCCAACAGAATGTGGAAATTATCAATTAATATCACATGCAACAGCCTCATTGTTGTTGTTGTGTACCATCAAAGTTGGAACTGCCCCCCAGCTGACTCTCCAGCTAGTTTCAATTAAAAATGGCTAGAAATGAGGTGAAAATGAGCATGGATCCCATTCCCACCCCTCCCTCACATGAGGACAGGAAAAGGACATTGTTTGACAGCAATGAAGCCATGGGGGTGGATGCAAATGCCCTCGGGCAGTATCTTCAGGGTCAGGGTGGGGCACACCCTCTCATCTTCACTGGTCCCTACCCACCACCTGTGGACGGAGCTGATGGGAAACAGGGGCATAATCCTTTCCCAGCTGCTCACGTGCACACACAGTCACATTTCCTTCTGGACAAATGAAATATAAGGCATAATAAAATACACCCAGGGACTGTGGGAAGGGCAAAAAGCAACAGGTGAGAGTTCATTGCTCATTCTCTCGTGAATGCAGTCATGAGCCAAATTAAAGGAACATCCTCAGCATTGGCGGGGAGTCATGTTACCCCTAAAGAAATTGATGATTTCAAGATTTCTGCTAGAGGTATCCAGAAAAAAGAAGAAAAATATACCTCAGTATAATGTGTCCTGCATAAGGAGACAAGACAAGGCGCTGGCTAGTGGCTTGTCCAGCCTCCTGCTCCTTTCAGCTGAATAACTCTGCACGATCTTCTCTGTCCTTCTGAATTCCCTTGTTTTCATCTATAAAATGTGGGTTTTGTTAGCTGCCATCAAGTCAGCTCTAGCTCATGGCACAACACGATGGAACAATGTCACATAATGGGTTGTCCCCCCAATCACCAGCATTGCAGATTCCACTGCTGGAGCCACTGTGCCCGTGTCACCAAGGGTCTCCCTCATCCTCTTTGGTCCTCTTTTTTGCCAAACATGATGGCCAGCCTGCAGAGGTTGATTGCTACAGATGACGTGTCCAAAGTAGATGACATTTCCTGGTAGTCCCTAGTGTGGAAACCATGCAATCCACCTGCAGTCCAATCATGCAGATCACTCATTGTTGCAGAATCAGAACCCACTCATAGCTGGTTCACCAGCAGGTTTTCTTTCAGAAGCTGTAAATCACAACCTAAGAGACTTCTCATCTTTCTCCTACAGAGCTGCTGGTAGGTAGCTGGCAGCACATCTCCCGATGAACCACACCATCACAGTACAGGCATGATTCCATTCTCATGGCTTAAGTGAGAAATTCCAAGGCTGCCAGGAAAGGCAGGTAGCAGGTCATCACCTCGTTTATTGCTCCTCCCAGGCTTCCTGTGCTGCCCTTCCCTCTGTGCAAACTGACCCGGGAGATTTGCCACTGAGAATGGAAAATGACAGCTCTGACACCACCATAAAATAGGGCCTCCCAGTGAGGGACACACTCCACGCCAGGCAGCGTGAACCTGGAACATAAAGTACCACTGCTTATTTCCCCTGGCACTATGTCCCCACGCCTACTCCCTCTCCATAAAAGTCATCCTATGTGAGGAAAGGTGACTGCCTCGGACCACGGAGGCTGATCACACACAGCTCCGGTCAAACTCACAGTCCTGGAAAAAGCTTATAGTCTGTGAAAAAGCTTGCCAGTGACAACTCAGAGCCCACAGCCTGAGAATCAGAGAAATCAGACCAAGAAATTAATCCCCAATTCATTTGACTTTCAAAGTGTAATTGTGGACCAGCTATATCTA